GCAGTATCCTCATGCCCTAAGACGTTAGCAGTATCCTCATGCCCTAAGACGTTAGTGCTCTTAGGAATTATTTCGTTTATTTTGTACTTTGTGTTTATTAGACTATACAGCTGATAAAACTCCACGGAATCGTGAAGCACATTATCGTATCACGGCCAAGGGCACTTCAGCAGAGTAGAGCGGAAGGAATCCCAGCGCGAATCATTCTCAATCCAAGATCAATCTATGTCGGGCGCGCTGAAGTGTACTTGGAGGTTCATGGGTAGTTATCATAAGTGGGGTTATAAGTTATAAGTTAGGGGGCTTATAACCCTACTTACAACTACCCATGAACCTCCAAGTAGGCCCTAAACCCTATACCGTTCTAGAATCCCTACAGATCCCCTTAAAGGGACCCTTAAAGGAACCCTTATAACTAGCCATGAACCTCCAAGTAGGTTTGGGAGTTTGGGGTTAGGATTGCGTCCGTGGCTTCGGGTTTCGAGGGTCAGCCGAGAGATGGGCCTGCTTCGGGGTTTGGGGCCGGAGTTTCGGGCGTTACTTAAAGGATCGGTACTAGGGTTCCTTAAATGGGCTCTTTAAAGGGATCTATAGGGGTTCCTTAAAGGGATCCAAAGGGGCTCCTTAAAGGGATCTTACCTATAGTCTCCATTGTAGTTCCTGTTTGGGTGTTTCTTTAAAGGGCTCCTTTAAAGGGGATCTATAGGGGGTCGATTATAAGAGGAGTTTCGGGGTCACTTAAAGCATCATTGGACTTAGTACCAGTAACTAGGGTTCCTTGAAGGGTTCCTAAAAAGGGATCCATAAGGGCTCTATAAGAGGGGTGTTTTAGGGTTACTTAAAGGATCATGGGACTTAGTAACTGCGGGTTCCTTTAAGGGTCCCTTTGAAGGGATCTATAGGAGTTCCTTAAAGGAATCTATAGGGTTTAGGGTTTACGTAAAGGATCATGGGATCTAGTAACTAGGGTTATGTTGGGGGTAACTATACTTATAACTTGGGTTTAGGGGTTTAGGGTTTAGGTTTTAGGGGTTTGGGGGTTTCGGGGTTTCGGGGTTTCGGGTTTAGGGTTTAGGGGTTTAGGGGTTTCGCGGTTAGGGTTGAGGGTGCAAACTGTTTCAGAGTGCCAAACACTGTACCCCGAAGTCATTCATGACAACAATCCCGCGAAGCCAGAACTCCGTGAACCGAAACAGCCGGTTATGCACCCTAAGCATTAAACCCCTAAAGCCTGGAATCCTGAACCCTGAACTCGAAGCTCAACAATTTCACCATAAACCATTGTAGCACCCTTATAGACACCTCAGAGGAATCTGTTAAAACCCTCAACCTGTTGCCCGCTTACCGGCAGGGGAGTGGCCCTGAACCTGTTCTTCGGCGACTACATCGAAGTGGGGGGCTTGTGGTCTAGGGATTTAGGGTTAGGGGTTTAGTTTTCAGCTTTCAGGTTTCAGGGCTTGAATGTTTTCGATATAGGGTTGAAGATTTTAGGGTTTAGGGTCTTGGGTGTGTAACCGACTCGCATAAACGAGGTTAGGGGTTTTGAGGGGTCCTCCAAAAAGTCTTTTAAGGGTCCTGCCCGAGTTTGGGGCTTCAGTTTGGGGAGTACACTTCAGGGTTTAGGGTTGGCTAAGGGTTTAGGGCTACAGGTTCGAACTCTATAGCAGATTTGCAGAGTCTTGCCTAACGGTGTCAGGCGAAGGATTCCTTCAAGGAATATTCCTTCAAGGAAATTCCATAGTACACGACAGTAGTACTATCCCATTTCAATACCCGAACAAAGAGGTTGACTGAGCCAGGTGGCGTTCTTTGCAGCCTCGGCAATGCATTTTCCAGCCCAAAATACCAAACCGACGCAAACCCCTTTAAAATATCAGGTCCTGCAGGATCTAACGCTAAACCCGAAGCCGCTGAACGCCTGTATAGGGCCCATAGAAACCTTAACTCGTGAGCCCTACACGCCCTAAACGCATGTAATCCTTTATTGCAGTTTGCTGGTTTGTATATACCATATCCTAGTACTTGGACCCCAAAAGTATGCAGAATAATAGCCTTGTATAGGTATTGGGCCATTGTTTCACCTACTTTGGGGGGTCTAGGTATCATATATCTTATGTTGCATATACCATCCTTTTGCACCTTTCAGTAACCTTGGGGAAAGAACTTGGCTAGCTGTGTAGGTAGCCTTCAACCGTTTAGGGATGTATATAACTCCACCATAGTTGAAAAGGTTAGCCTTTTTGGCCCTAAACCCGAGACCCTAAACTCTAAGCCCTAACCCTTTCCTTTTTGGGCTAATGCTAGGATATTCAGCCCCTCAAACAGTGATCTTTCTCACCACTTGGAGATTCATGCCTAGTTTTTGAAAAGGGGGTTATAAGTCCCCGAATAGGAGTTATAACTATAGTTACCTTACTTATAACCCCACTTATAACTACCCATGAACCTCCAAGCAGGCCCTAAACCCTATACCATTATGGAATCCCTATAGATCCCCTTAAAGGGACCCTTAAAGGAACCCTTATAACTCCAAGCAGGCCTGCTTCCCCTTCCTTGCGCGGGACTTGGTTCTGGATGCGTCAGTTTACATCGCGTCCGGGCTGCCGGGGCCTTGGCTTCTTAGGGGCCGAGAAGTTTGCGTACGGTTTTAAAGGGCTTTAAGGTTCGGGGCTTAGGGCTCTAGCCGTTTTGGGTTTACGGGCCTCAATTTCGGGTTTAGGCTTTAGAGTTATACGGTTTGATGCTCGAAGGGGTTCCGGCAGCCGGCGTTGCGGTGCTTGGTTTGAGGCCTGTCAGGGAGGCGCTGAGGCGGCTCAGGAGAAAACAAAAAATAGTACTAGTGACTAGTGTTCCTTGATAGCCCTTGTGTGGGCATATTATATGAATCCGCGAACCCTGGTCTAACCAGTTTTGCCTAAGCTGGCTTGCCGGCGTTGTTCTGCTTAGCGGGTCCGTGTAGTTCGGGTGGGCGTAAAAGCGTAAAAGTGTAAAAGGTGAAATTCGTTTTTCGGGTTTTACGTTTTTCGGTGGTGCTCGCCAGTGTTTTGGACCAGACAAGCTCCGCGTACAAGCGTAAAAGCGTAAAAGTGTAAAACCGTATTTTTGTTTTCGTTTTTACGCTTTTACCCTGCCCCGCGTTTGTTTTCGCGGCACGTGATTGTCTGAAAGCGTAAAAGCGCAAAAGCGTAAAAGCGTAAACGGCCGGTTCTCAGCGTACAAGCGTAAAAGCGCAAAAGCGTAAAAGGCGCGTTCTCTGCGTAAAAGCGTAAAAGCGTAAAACGTAATTTTTTTTTTTCGCTTTTTCGCTGTTTTCGCTTGAATTCTGCACCAAGGGCCGCTGAAACCGTAGTCTACACCCTGTAGCTCCAAGCCTAAACCCGTCCGGCTTACTATGTGGGCTACGGCGTCGCCAAGAATGCCTGGCCAAGGCCCCAACGAGTTAGCTGATGATGAAAAGTATAGAAAACAACTCTGTAGATTATGGTTTTGTAAAGAAGAAAAACCTGAAGCGGAAGAAGAAAAACAGAGAAAACACATTGGGAAAGGCGAACATTGTCATTACACTTTCCGGATATTCTTTGAAAAAGCTCGAGGAATCGAAGTGTCGAGCATGCATAATTTCATGTCTTGCATGGCATGCATGTAAAGGGATTGTTGCATTTATGGAGATTGGTAAGCTAGCAAGGTAAGATTGCTATGGTTGCATGGCATGCATGCGGTCCTACTGCATGCACGTAAATGCATGCATGCATGATCTCCTGTCTTGCTGTGTTTGCATAGACAAAGATGGCTTGGAAATTTTCATGTCTTGCCTGCAAGGTATGCATGCATTTGCATGCAATGCATCATGTCATGCATGCGGTCATGAACGGTTTCTTGTTTTTGTTCTGCATGCATGCAACTTTCAAGATTGCTTGCAGCGGCATTGTATGCAGCACGGCAGCGGACTATGTTTTTGCACCAGCTCGCATTCAGGTCGGAGTGCATACTCAGAAAACTGCATGCATGGTGGATGCTCTGATCATGTATGGGCCCAGCAGACTCCTTTGACCGCCTCCATGCATTGAAAGCTGGAAATCTGCCAAGCAAGCGAATTATTCGGCATGCCCTTCATGCCTTCACTCCCTTCTCAGCCGCTTGGTCGGGCTCTCACTTGAAGCAGGGCCATTGCTGTCGTCGTCATCATTGGTGGCCAAACAATGTCGAAACCACTGCCACCACCAGATCCTGAGATTGCAGCTTGCATGCACTTAGAAGCATGGCATGATGAAACAAACTTCAGCCCAGGATCGTGACCCCTGCGAGATCGCTTCGCATCCAACACCACCTCCACTCAAACCTCCTAGGAAGAGGCGATCTGCTGCGGCCCGGGCTTTCATCGCGAGGAGGCATCGCGATCTACAGGGAGTTGCTTCAAGCAAAATGCTGCAGGCATCATAGAATGCTGAACCCTCCATAAATCAAAGATTGCATGCAAGCATGGATCAAACAAAAATTCTTTGCATGATCCACAGGGCACGAGTGCCCTTATAGATGTGCCAAAGTGCACTGCTGCATTGAGCTGCACAATATTGCTCTGGTGATGCTTGCCCCCGCCACTTTCCTTCAGCAGCGGTGGGACATGAACATGTTCAAGTTTCGTGAAGAGGCAGGTGACCCCCAGATTTACATCATCGGTGCCGATGACCTGCTTTGCAGTGTCGTGTACAACAAAGCCAATGATGGCACACTGACCCTGTTGCCGCCTGCCTATTTGCGACCTCGCCATGCATGATGAAAATATGCAGCTGTGCTTATGTTTCTTTTGCAAGTGTCATGCTTGCCTTGCATGTGTTCATGCTTGCAGGTTGCATGCATGATTGTTTCGACTTTAGGCCCATCAACAAGAAATAATGCTTTCTTTGTCCATGCTTACATGCAAGAATCATGCATGTGCATGCTTGCCCTTGCTTGCTTCCGGCATGCATGACTCGTTCAAGCATGCATGAAGCTCATGCTGATCATGCATGCTTGAACATGGGATTGTGCTTGCCAAGATGCATGCATGCTGGCTCATTGCCATGCAGCACCATGTCGCCTTTCTTGATGATAGCACCATGCTTCAGCCTTGTCATGGTGCTTGTCATGCACTCATCCTCCTGCCGCAGGACATTGTACTGCACCAAGCTTTTCTTCAGCTTTGCAGTGCAAGCATGCGGCTGCAGCAAATGTGCCCGCAAATGGAAACCCTCTTCTTTGCCCATGACCGACAAATGCTCTGCAGTCACCTCTTCCAGAAGAGATGTGTCGGAACGAATCGTATTGCTAGAAGCCGACCCATATTTACGGGCGGCTTCCAAGACCCAGCATGCAGGCAGAAATCCTTGTTTCTCGTAGCAACCATCCAAGTGGAGGGTCCAATGAAACTTCGGCCGCATCACTGGACCCCATCCTGCCTGCACCGCTTTTTCCAAGGCTTCCTCGCAAGCAAGGAGCAGTTGTCTGGACCGAAGTGGTGCTTGATTTTGATCGTTCAAGAGTTCGAGCACATGCAACCATGCTAGAAGCGATGCTTTCGCAGGCTGCACTTCTTCTTGCAGGCAGCATGTTGTGAAGTAGCGCTGCAATGGTTTCAACAAACCCAGAACTTCGGATGCAGTACACTTGAGATGACCTGTTTTTCTGTGGCTCTTGATTTTGTCTGCCGAAAACAAACTGCTCAAGGAGCCTTGTCTGTTGGCACCGGGCAACTGCCACAACTCCAAGTAGCCTGCGAAGGATTCCCACACATCGGCTTTGCCATGGTTTCGCCATGACTCGAATGCCCAACATATAACGAAACTGAGAACTCCGTTGCTGGAAGACATGCACAAAGCATGTGGCGAAAATGTCCATCCACTTGCTTGTTGAAGCATTGCAAAGCGAGCCTTGCTTTCAGTTCCTGCCTTTGCTGCCAGCCGATCCCAACTCTGCAGCCATTCGCTGTCCGAGGCAAGGTCGCAGGAGGACAGGGTCAGGTGTCTGGAGCTGATCTTCCCCTCGTCGTCATCATCACCTTCACGTCTAACATTGAAAATGTTCTTGCAGAGCATGCAAACACGAGAACCGATGTCGTGGCGGTTTGCAAATGTTTGCTTCTGGGCACTGCCGTCTTGTAAAAAGACGTGGAGGGTCCAATGGAAAACAAACAATGCATCGGTTGATTTCATGACAATGCCATGCACCGGGTTCCAGAGCTGCTGTGCGAACATATCTTCCAAAATGAGTCTCAGGGTCTGGCCGATACCAGCTTCAACTTTTTGTACTAGTTCAGTTCTCAAGACCGCCAATGTAAACCAGTGTCGCTCCTCGGATAAGTCTTGCTGTTGTAAGTTCAACAAAGAAAAATATATGCACCAAATTTTGCGGCCAGTACTGGAAAGTTGATTGCCGGGATGAGCTTCATCAGCATAAAGAACTCCCTTCCATGGGCAGTCCAAGCTTGAGGGGTCTTGCATGTGCATGTGATTGAAACTTCCTGCCTGTATAACCCCTGGAGCATTGTTGGTAGGTTGAGGATATGAAAGTGCAAATCCCCACCATCAATTCGCACAGCTGTGAGCTGCTTGAGTAAAGACCCACAATCCCCAGCCATGGCGGCAATCTTCTCCAGAACCGCTTGCTTGATGTTCTTCCTTCCATGCAGCTCTGGCACTCCTTCCTGTTCCACCTTGTTCAAAATCGCTGCCAATGCCGAGCACGACACGAAGGGAATGCCTCTACGGAAAGCATCGAGATGGTCCAGCTTCTGCTTCTTGGAAGCTGAGCTGGAGGACTTAGCCATAAAGCATGGCTTGTGATGATCCCTACCCTAAACTCAAAGACTTGGACAGCTGGGCATGTGACAACAACCTCATGCAGTTTTGCAATGCAAGCATGCAAGCAAGTGAGAAGCCAGCCCTAAGCGCTAGGAACAAGCAGCAACAGCCCTTTTTGCCGAAGGCTGGACATGTATAGTGCATGGAATCCCCTTGTGCTACCTTTTTCAGGTAGGTCGGATGCAACCATGCAAGGTCGCATCGAAAGCCCTCGGGCATAGAGCACTCTATGCACCTGTGTGTACCCAAACCCTGGGACCTGGATCAGTGCTTGGCCGCCTTCTTCCGTTCCTCCATGTACTTCTTCCATTCGGCCCGACCGTTGAGTCGCACACCGGCGAACCCATCGAAATTGCAATTGTCGCAGCCATACACATTGCCACGGCATCTTGCACAGCCCCAGCAGGTGAGCCTTCCGTCCTGCTTGGCAGCCTTCTTCTCTTTGTTCATCGGGTGTTTCTCAACACACTTCGCTGCAGGCTTTTTGAAGAGCTGTGGCATCTTCTGATTGCAAGGCTTCCCATTCTTCTTCTCCTGCTTCGGTGCTTTCTTATTCTCCACTTGTGCCAATGCCTCTGCTTCGTACTGTTCCAAGCTTTTGCCTTCGTTTGCCCCTGGCACCGACTGCTTTTCCGGAGACTTGTTTTCCGGAGCATCGGCGGGGCTCTGTGCAGGTACGTGCAGTAGAGGAATTTGCAGGTGTCGGCAGCAACTGGAGCTGCCGGATCACCTCGTCCTTGGAGGGCATGCAACTCGAGGGGCATGACTGCTTGAGTGCAGCTTGTCTGGCTTCCTCCTCGGCAAGCTTTTCTTTCATGGTCTCCAGCCAAGTCTTTTGCTGCATGGCATGCATGGACATGTTGCAAGCAAGCTGATTGGAACCCTGAGAAGTGCCTTTGAGCAGCCGGCTGGTGGTGCGGATTGGGCACGACTTGGACAAGACATGCAGCTGTGGCAGCTCTGCACAGCTGGGGTGAGAACCTATGCAGGCTTTGGCAATCCAATCTGGTCCCAACTCTCGAGGATCGTCTGGGTATGTCCGGAAGGCAGGCACATCACTCTGTACGTTCAGGCTGTGAAAAACGTCCTGGAAGTCAGTCGCTAATTTGTAGATTTTGTCTGCATCTGCTTGTTGGGGATTCTGCCAAAGATGGGCTTGCACGTGCAAAGTGACACAGGATTTCTTCGTACATTCTTTGCGGCTCGTCAACCCAATCACCCGAAGCCGTCTGGCAATGAGGATCGGGGCGTCCTTGATGTCACCTTGCATAAGCTGCACGATTTCCTCTTTCGTCAAATAAGCCACTGGGTTCTTCAGTGTCTGCGGAACTTTGACGAGCTTGCAGCCACCTTCCGTGCTGCCACCTGAAGCATTCTTCAAAAGAGCATCACTCAATGCCTTTTTTGTATTTTCGTCCAATCCAGACTGTTCCACAGACTGGAGCATGTTCACATACTCCCCTGCCGGCAAACTGTCGGCAGTCACGACCTTCTTTTGCAAGACATTCAAAAGACTCGCCTGGAGCTGTGGATTCGGAGAGAAGCTCAAAAGCTTCTGGACATCCGAAAGCTCCTTGGCAAAGTCCTTGCTGCCCCAAGCAATTGCCATGAGTCCAAGGACCCAGGACCTAAATGATTGGGGCCTGTGCTAGGAGCCTGAGCCCGTAAGCTTGCCACCAAGGGCCAGAACACGAACAATTAGCAAGTTTTAGGCGTCCCAAGTATAACTCAATCAAAACACGCTGCTTATTGAAACCTTTTCAGTACCGCAGTCCTCGAGAAGCTTATGCTCCTTCACCTCACGCCAAACCCTAAACATGAGACCCTCCAGGCCCTGAACCTCCAAGCAAAGCAAGATACCTACGCTAGATGGGTGGCGTTTCTTTTGACGCCGTTCTTGGTTCCTGGTTTTTCACCTTTAGTTTGATTTTTCGCTTAGTCACCATTGTTCCACTTTTACTTTTTTCGCTGCTTTTACAGTTTTACCCTTTTCGCTGCGTGGCGCGTTTTTACGATTTTATGGGTTTTCGCTGCTTTTACAGTTTTACTCTTTTCGCTGCGTGGCGCGTTTTTACGATTTTACTGTTTTTCGCTGTTTTTACAGTTTTACGCTTTTCGCTCCGTGGCGCGTTTTTACGATTTTACGTTTTTTCGCTGTTTTTGCTGTTTTACTTTTTTGGCGCAGCAAATTGTTTTTACAATTTTACGTTTTTCGTTTTTACCTTCGTCCGTTCCGCGGCGGAAATACATCCGATCATGCAATTTTTACATTTTAACAGTTTTACATTTTTCGCCCCTGAAGTTGGGCCATCTGGTTTTTACATTTTTACATTTTTACCGTTTTACTCGCTTCCTCCGGTCGAAAATATACTTTTCGATTTTTCGTTTTTACGTTTTTCGCTGCCGATGTGCGTCCGGACTCCTTAGCTGTTTCAACAACACTAAGCCAGCACAGTTGGCTTCAGCATTAAGCTCTGCAGCACCGTGTAAATCCGTATACCAAATGAAACTTTGTTCAGCGTGTTGAGGCCCTGCGATACTGTCTTAACCCAATGATTCAGCTCCAGGGAGTGGCATTGATGGGAGGATCATGGGACTTAGTAAGTAAGTATATACTTAACCTAGTTGGGGTTATAAGTATGAATTACTATAGTTACCTTATTTATATCCCCAGTTACTAAGTCCCATGATCCTTTAAGTGATGCTTGAGGCACTGCGGGCTTTAGACTTGATTGCCATAGCCATTCTTGCGCTATAGATATCGCGCAAGCTCCAGGGTTAAGATTCCTACAACTCATGTGAATTAAGTATCTGGTTACCAACCAAACTGTTCAATATCCCCGCCTTTTAGTTAAAGATTCGTAGCAAAAATTAATTACCCTTAAAGAGCTTTCAAGACTTAACTTCACTCCAAAGCCCAACATCCACCCTAAGAACTTGAACCATACATCGTAAACCACGAAACCCCACGGCCCAAAACCCAATGTCTCTTCTAGTAACCTCCTTAGCCGCACTAGGAGGATCATGGGACTTAGTAAGTAAGGATATATTTGTAACCTAATCCGGGTTATAAGTACCTTTATAGTTACCATATTTAAAACAAGCCCCAGGATCCCTTAAGTCCCAAACCCTAACCCCCGTAGATCCCTTTAAGGAACCGTATAGATCCCTTTTCCGGAGCCCTTTAATTTAAGAACCCTAGTTACTAAGTCCCATATAAACCGTAAGCCCTCAACCACATTAAGTCCTAAACCCTAAACCCTAAACCACATAATGCACCCACGAGGGCGGGCGCCATCATCGCCACCGGCGGCGGGGCACAGAGCACCGTCGGAGCCTTACCAGTAGGGTTTGAGGGGTTCATGGTTTTTAGAATTCAGGGTTGAGAGTTCATGGTTTTTAGAATTCAGGGTTGAGGGGTTCATGGTGTTTAGAATTCAGGGTCCTATAATCTAATGCCGAAAAGCCGAAAAGGAACTACTTTGGGGCCTTTGGGTAAGGCCCCGATATCCTAGCTTCAAGGCTAATAAAGTTCAGGACGAGAGCCTCGCAGATGTTGCTGTAGGGGTACCAAATGCGTTGAATTGGGTTTAGGGTTTAGGGTTCAGGGCTTACGGTTCAGGGTTTAGGGTTCAGGGGTTCCGGGTTTCGTAGCGTCTTGGAAGGCTTCAGGGTCTAAAGTAGATTACAGCAACTCGATTCCGGTTTAGGAGAGCAGTTTCGGAAGGGGGTTAATGTCGTAAGGGTCCTACGGTTGATGATATAAATCCCGTAAACTATGGGAATTATGGTATAATCCTTATTCTGGGTAATGCAGGATTTCTATCATCAGCCGTAGGTCTCTCCTGGAAGAGGTTTCCGAAGTCCTTTTTCAAGGTTCCAACAGTAGCAGAAACCCTCCACTCGACATTCTCGGTGCCCACGTTGCTCTGTCCTGCATCCGAATCCCTCCACCGACCGTTTCGAACGCCAAAAACCAGATGAAGACCTTGAGATACGGGCCCAGCGTGTTCCCGCAAAGGCTTACCTCGCCGCCCCTCTTGCAGGGAGCTCTGCGAAGGGATGTTTAGGGTCCAGGATTTAGGGCGTGTTTGGGAAAGAAAGCTCACAGCACTCAAGCCCTGGACCCCAAAACCTTAAACCCTGCAGAGCCTTCCAGTTTTGCTTTCAGGATCGAACATTGGGAGCTTGCGTAAACCCTGGAATGGCGTGCCTTGTTTTGGATATCCTACCTTAGTTAGTTAAAGCCTAGCTGACCCAAAGTCGTATTACGTTTTCGGGCCTAGGTAAAGCCTAAACTGAACCTGAGGGTTCCTGCCCGAGCTGTAGCAGGGTTCGATGAAGTACGGAGGTCTGAAGCAAGAATGTGTGGCTGCCTAATTTTGTGTATACCTCTGTATGCATATACGTATAAATGTATGCATACACATTTGTGTATATGCACATCTGTAAGTGTGCCTTATACTCGAAACCCCTAAACCCTTACCCCTTGACCTCTAAACCCTCAAGACCTGAACCCTAGACCCTGCACCTCCGAAGCTGCAAACCCCTAAATCCCAAACCCCATGCACTAACCCTTAGGGTTTAGGGTTTTGGGCCGTTTAGGGTTTTGGGCTTTATATCTCAACGCGCTAGACCCGACGCCTAAGCCGTAAGCCCCAACGCCGTAAACCTCCGCAGTGCTGTGGGGCCTACTGTTTTCTTGAGTCGGCTTAGGGATCTACAGCATGGTTCGCAGGCTTGTGGTTTCCACCACGGTTTTGCAAGACTGTCGAAAACTGCGGCCAGGTGGAAAACCCCATGCCCTGAACTGGTCCCAAACACGTTCGGCATGGTTGAGGTCACTGCGGTCCGGAGCCCATGAACCAAACACCTATCCCAATCGTGCGGCTGCAAAGCTACATGGGTGGTTGTCAAAATTAGGGGTCCCTTTTTGGGTCCTTATTATAATACGGCACCTACTATT